ATAACACAAAAAAATTCCAAAGATGCATACTGACAGGTCTCAGGATTTTAAACTATTTCATCCTAAAGGCAAGAGATTACGGCATATGCATCAGCTGGACTTAAAAATGAACATGCAGGCAGCGCTTTCCTCGGTCTTGGGGCGTGAGCCCCCTAACGTGTCCCGCCTGTCCTGGGAAAGCACCCTCAGCCCTGTGTGCAGCTTCCCACTAGAAGGCTGCTATGCACTTGAGGCCACATGGCTTATTAAGTATTTTACAAAATGGCTGTAAAATCATCTTATGGGCACACACAGCTCCCTGATCTCACTGCACAGAATCCATAACTGGTCAATAAGGGTGCACCATGACACCACACACCTTAAACTACTTCTAGTTCATTTTTCCACAGTTTCTCCCCAGATCAGCTTCCAAAGCAAGACTAAGCCATGCAGACTAAGCCATGCACACATACACCTTGGGCTCAGCTTGCTTATCCCTCCTCTCCCTCCACACTCTAAAGGTGGGAGCCCTTGAGTCATGGAAAGAGAAGGCTCTCCCCTCGCCACACCCTCCCAGCGCCTCTGAAGAGGTCCCCATCAGGAGTTGTGTAAGGGATGCACACCCTAAGAAAAGAGAAGCTGTCCCTTTAAAATGCCCTGCTCGGTCCCATATCCCACGTGGACCCAACCTCAGCAGCACTTTCTCACTAGCATCCATGTGATGCAAGAGCACCACCCTTGTACACAGATAAAGCCAGAAAACCTCAGCCTGACATTCCTTGGTGAGCAGGAACAGGTGAAGCAGACGTGTGAGGCAGGCAGAAGCCACACAACTCCCCACCCTCCCCAAAAGGTGGCCAGCCTCGCACTCCAGGCGCCCTGCGCGGTGTCACCTCTCTACCCCACTTCTCAAGAGCCCAGACTGAAGAAAGGAGGGAGCCACTAACAAAACCTGCAGAACAAACGCGACGAAAATGCGACCTACAGCCGGAAAGGTTTATACTTCCAATCACACATATTAACTCTATTAAGAAAATGGCATCACTTTCTTTCCACCAAAAAAAAAAAAAAAAAAAAAAGCCCAAACCTCGCAAAGATCATTAAAAAGGAGTTATAAAATAGCAAATATAGTGTTTATCTTATCTCAGATCAGTCCACATTACCCATAAGTTAGGCAGTTTCTGCACTACCACCTCCCCCTTCCCTCCCCCCGCTTCTCCAGCATCGGATTTTCACGTTTTCTCATTGTCGGTTGAGTTATAAAAGGCTTTTGCTCTTCGAAAGTTTTAAAAAATAAATAAATATTAACTCCTTGGTCTCTGCAAAGTCAAAATGGACTTCAGGGGAAAGGCGGTTCACACTTTTACCTTTAGCGAGAAAAGGGGGAGCATCCCGGATTTTTAGGGATTTTTTGCGATTTTTTAAAAATTTTTATTTGGTTATATGCCTGAGTTCTCCCTCCATTTTGGTTGTTTATGATACTGACAACAAGCTGTCCCTGCTCGGTGCCGATCTCCTGCTTTCATTTAGCACCCCCTCCCCTCCCCCCTCGCGGCCACTCACCCGGGCTCACACCTCCCCGCAGACCCCGCACCCCGACCCGGCTCGCCCACCTGAGGAAAGGGCGAAAACAAATTCATTTCTCCAGAAAAGAAAAACCTCTTTTGAAAAAGGGGCAAAGTTCCCCCAAGTCACTCCAAGTGCCCCCCAAATATTGCCGACCGCGGGTTTTCGCCAGGCCCTTTGGGAAGCGACCTTCCTCCGGGATGTTTTGGTGGAAAATGCGGAGAGTTTACTCTCAAAACCGAATTTATATTAATTTTTCCCTTATTTTTCGGGTCTCTAATGTCTTCCGCTCTCGCTGCCGCCGCTGCCGCTGTCACAATATTCACAGCACCAGAGAGGAGGAGGAGGAGGAGGAGGAGGAGGTGGAGGAGGAGGAGGAGGAGGAAAACTTTTCAAACTTTCCAGACCCTGGAGAGACGTTTTCTCCTTTTCTTTCCCACCGACCTCACCGTCGGGTCCCCAGCCGCGTCGCCCCCTGCCCTGTCAGGAGCGGCTCCGGGCGTCCTCGCAGCCCCACTCCACTATTTTCTTTTATTTTTATTATTATTTTTCGCTCCGGGGTCCCGAGCAGGGCTGCGAGCAGCCCGAACTTTTCCTCCTCCGGCCGCCGCCGCCGCTCCTCTGCCCCCTCGGCTCGTCCCATAATTTAAATAACCCTGATATTTCTCCCGCTAAACGCCTCTCCGCCGCCCCGGACCCCGGGAGAACTCACCGCGGGGCTTTAACATCCTCCCTCCGGCCCGTCCGCCGCCTTTACACCGCCCGCGGAATTTCTAATAATTTTTTTCTCATATTTCGGGCTGGACGCGGCGGGCCTGGAAATTGTTTCCTTACGCCTCTTTCCAGCAGCCATTGTAGTGTATGCGCTGCCCCTGCAGCCCAACTTGCAGCTGCCGCTGCTCGCCGCCGCCGCCGCCGCCGCCGACGTCGCGCCCACCGCCGCCTCCCCCGGCCT